GTTTCCATGTAGATGGATACTCACTCTCCTTTGCGCATGCTGGGCTTCAGGAGGACTTCCATGCCAGAACACAATGCAGGCTGCATGCTGCTACTTGTTTATTAGCTTTCCTAGCATTTAGGAGGCAGACTCTGCTACAGCGTTGAGGCCTTTACACACCGGGGACGTTTCTTTCGTGTGATTAATTCACACGCTTATATGTTTTCTCAAAGTGTTTGGACATGAGAACACACATAATGCAAATACTAATCATCAAAAACACAAACTCATATTCCAAAACTTTTTTGATACAGGCATCAACCAATCACCGTGTGCAGAACGGACATATTGAAAATGCACTCTATACAACAACAAGGAGGTTCTGTAGTCCGAGCCAAGATGGCAACCTTTATTACTCCGAAGTGGAGACCAGATCCCCTCCTACCGTTCTTTCCTCTGGGTAAGAACGGCTCTGGGTCAAGAGGATCCCAGCAGTTGGTCCTTTGCCTGGACAAGTCCATTTGAACCTTTTACTGAAAAAATATTACAACCGTTGCAGATTTGCGTCACTGCTCAAGTAATGACCCATCTAGGAAATGTATCCACCAATTATTGGTTAAATGCAGAAGTCTGATTTAGTGGCAAACAACATACCATAAGACTTCTCATCATTCTGTCCACGTTGTTTTGCGGCATCATCATCAGCCTGTAATCTTTTTTAGCCGTGTTATTTTTTAAAACATGGGTCTTGATGTCATATTTTTGTCATATCATTCCTGTCAGTTATGTTAACATATGAGCTGCACATTTTCTCAAATACGTGTTCAGTTTGATTGGTAGCACTTAAATGTCTATCAATTAACTATTTAATTAGCCAGTGCAGCTATGATGATGTGTCCTTCTACGAGTTAATGAGCTCCATGGCTGATGAATGACTGGCCTGATGAAATCCAATAACATCTTTTCTGAAAGACCCTGTGAAGGACATCACCCCTGTGCTGTTACAGAGAGGTCAGCCATATCTTCTGTCTCAGACTGCCCATCACTGACTGGAAGATGTCATTCGATGCCTTCTGAGGCGCTAATGGCTGACGTTCTCCTCGGGGGTTTTCTTTTTCCCGAGATGATGACTGCTGCAAATGACAGCGTTTCGCTGTGAAGAGGGTCACATGGTGTGCACAACCCACCTGGGTCCATACCTGGCTTTTGGCTCTGTGTAGACATCCTGCCCCCTGGGTCACCTCATCTCTGCGGTCTCATACACTCGTACAGCAGTGGATGGCCATAGCCTTACTGCTAGCCAACCTGTATTCTGTTACTGTCACTGTTTTGGGACTTTGATAGCGATAAAAAAAATAATTTATGATTGCTGTATGGCTGTATGATTTATCTTGTTTGCCCAAGCATACTGTAATTAAGTAGTAATGATAATTATTATCTTTGGTCGATTATCTTTGGTTTATCACTTTTAAATCGGGCATCAAATTTAGTACTTGCAATTATTATTTCCTTGGATTTTCTGTAGATGAAATCTGATTTTCTGAAGGCAGTTCTCTTGTTTTTGTCCAGCCAAGTTAGCTATTTATATTACTAACTGCCCAGCCATTCTTCTCCTCAGTAAAGTCCCACCAGACAGCAGGTGCTTTGTATTTATATGAGTGTGCCACTACTTAGTTTGCTGTTTAAAAAAATGGACATCCAAAATTGTGTTCTTTGTATTTTGACTCCTTGGAGACTAGAAGCACTTCAGTGCCTTTCATGTTGAAAGATCCATTGCTATGCCACAATGCCTAGTTGAATGTTTATCAAGTAATAATAATACATGTTATTCATGTAGCACAATTCATGCATTGAGTGCAGCTCAAAATGCTTTAGCCAGGGAAGCTGCCACATTGAAGACAATTTTACAATGAATGAGAAGTAAACGAGCAAATACAACATGAATGACACAATCATCTTTGAGATGAGAAAATACGGATAAAAACAATATTTAATAAAGTATATGCAACATAAAGTGGTTCCCAGTTTAGATATTTATATACAAGTAGCAGAGCTTTACATTTTGTGACACTGGACACTGGAAGCCAATGCATCTAGGCTACAACTCCCGTTCCAACTGGTGTGTTGGCATCTACCAGCATGCATTGCACTTGGATATCTTGTCAAACTCACCCTGCAGAGTAGGATCTTTGCCTGTATATGTCTTCTCCCTATCATGTCTGTCTGAACTGTATGAAAGAGCAGTTCACTCTGAAAGCAGCAGGCTTAGCATTGGCGACAGGCTGGTTCTGCCACTAAATAACCAACGAGGTATTTATTATTTTAATATGGGTGGAATCTGGGTTAAGAATGTGTTCAAATCAACCCAAAATGGAGGAAGGTGTGAGTCAAACCACCTACTGCAAAATGGCCATTACAAGGTCATGAAATGTGTCAGACCAGCCTTGATACAGAGACCAGACTTGAGAACTGCACTCTCTCTTTTTGGGTCAGTTGGATTGATCTCATGATTCTAAAATACCCATCTATACCCAAAAGCTGTATTAGGCTAGTGCTAGTGTTTCCATTTGTAGTCCATTGACGCTGTTTTGTGTTCCATCATTTCTCAGGTGGAATCCAATGCCCCAACAACAGTGCTCTGCAGGAGGGGAAGAACTGCAACGACCACCCCTGCACTGTGTACCACTGGCAGACTGGCCCGTGGGGGCAGTGCATAGAAGACTCCTCCAATCTAGCCACCAACACATCTGCAGGCCGAACACGCGGCGACGATGCCTCCTGCTCAGTGGGGATGCAGACCCGCAAGGTCATCTGTGTCCGGGTGAATGTGGGCCAGGTTCCTCCGAAAAAGTAAGATTCTACATAACTTATTTCACATGCAGGTGTGAATAAAGTACTTGAATGTCAATCCATCTCTGGCACATACAGTGTAACACAAGAGGATTCAACTGGTGTCAGCTGATATACATGTTAATATTAATTAGGCCTTAATGCTCAGGGCCGGACAGATTCCGGCCCACAGACCGTAAGGATGTGAGGGTATATGTTAATGGTATTCTTATTGGATCCCCGTGATGATTGAAGCTTGAGTTTATCTTGGGGTCCAGGCCAATGAAGATGAAGTTGGTGCTTTAAAAGCTTGAAGTGAAACTTCAACAGTTAAGTTATCAATCAGGAGAAAAGAAGAAAGCAACTGTGTTAGAAAACAAACTGTGATAGAAAGTCAGATGTACTGTACTAGCCTGTTGAAATAATAGAAGGAAAAAATGATCCACGACTCAAAACACAGTAAAAAGTAATCTGAACAACAAGCTTAAAAATCTGTTGCTAGCTGCAGCTAATGTTCAGATTTTGATGAAAGCTTCAGCACTTTTAATGTGTTCCCTTTTAGATTCAAAGACAGTTTTAAATCGATTTGTTGCGAGGCCTCTGACTGGCTTCTTCTCTAATGAGTGGCACGAATGAGGTTTATGAGTATTGTACTATGATGAAACATATGAGTATCATATGTTTAGATAAAAATTAGCAAATTAGAATTTTTGGATTCTGGTTCCAGAATCTAAATTTCCCTTCAAATCGTACATTCGTTAAACTTGAATTAAATCACCATATTTCTCTGATTGTGTTTAAACATGTTAAATTCACAGATCCAAGCATCGGCTGGGCATATAGGCTACGACACTCACTACTGAGTGATTAGGATAGAACTAAACAAATAAATCCCCAAAATAATGCTTACAAGTACTAATCCCAGTACTAATCGGGACAACATTTTGGCATCAGAAGCAGTTTCTGGAGTAGTATTGACTGATCCCATTCCAGTGGGCTTTGGGTGCATGCAGGTAAGTTTGTATGGAGAGTAAAAGCGATACTCATCAGTACTCATCAGCAACCCAATTGCCAGGCAGAAATTAGGCTTTTTAATGGTTTAAAATGAACCAGTAAACTGGCTACTTGTGAAACAATTGGTTGTTCACATCTTCTCTCAACTCGACTCCAGTCTAGCGTCTCAAGCGGCTAATCGGATTGCCGAAGAGGCTAAAATGTTGTCAGACTAATAACCGATGGTGTCCAAGGTTGCTTCCAAATGCTTCCATTTGTAGAAGTAAAAAGCAGCCTCGTGTTTGCTTATGGCACGTTGTGCCGTTTAGTCTCCTGGTTAGTCTGTTGTCGCTGGTGTCTGGCAGAGGTGTTGATGAGCTGTTCCAAGCATCTGGGTCTCTTTCCCCCCTGAAGGCATCTGCTGGGAACATGAATTATCTATGTATATATTCAACAGAACGAGAGCATTATTCTGGCAGTTACTATGCAGGGAAACCCACCCCCAGCCCCCACGCTGTGTATGGAGATTAATCTCACTTTTTATTCCTGCCCTTACTCCTAAACCCACTGTTACATGCCGAGCAGTGAGCCCACAGCCTTGGGACACACTTTCACATCAATGGAGACAGTGGCACCGCTTTCACCAGCAGCACCAGCTGCGGCCTGGATGTGAGGGCTGCCGTCAGTAAACAGAAATTGGCATTAGATCATTCTAATGCATTAGGATGATAAAAAAAACGAAATATGTATTAGGATTTTAATTAAGTGTGTGGTTCAAATGTGGTAAAAACTGTGATTTTTGAATGCGTGTGCATATATCATATGTCTGTGTTTGCCATAGAGCTTCTTCTCTTGCAACATTTTAATTGGTGATCTGCAATTCTGAGCAGAGCTCATTTCCAGGTTGGCTCGACACAGAGACGACGTCCCGACGCTTCTATGGGGATCTCAGGATTTGGGAAAGGGTTCAGTTTCAGTGCAGCCTGGCAAATCACTGCTGAATGCAATAATTTCCAGGAAGGGATCATTTAAGAAGCAATCAATTAAAAAAAAGTTGTTAAAGTCAAATTTACTGTTTTTCGAAGGATATTCTCGACTCTAACCTCTTTGTCTTAATAGTAGTAGTAGAACATGGAAGATATATCACTGAACATTAAGAATTGTAGAAAGGAAGTGTCTGTCTTCACAATACTATGCTGCAGTAGACACACACACACACAGTCAAAGTCTCAGAAAAAGATCCAGAGCTGCAGTCGGGCACATTGGGAGTCTCCCAGTGAACTCCCAGCATGGTTCCTTGGGCTCTGATCCAGCACATCTCTGTCAGATATTAAAGGGTTCTCTGTGTGTTTGCCTGAGCATGTTAATGATCTCCTTTCAGGTGTCCGGAGAGTCTGCGCCCAGACACCGTCAGGCCCTGCCTGCTGCCGTGCAAGAGAGACTGTATCATCACCCCGTACAGTGACTGGAGCCCCTGCCCATCAACATGTCAAGCAGGTAGCTCCAGCTCTTTGTTGGCTTCAGTACACACAGTGAGGCGATACGGGGTGTCACACCAGTGTCAAGAGAGGGAATGCATTAAAACCTGTATGACTGTGTTTCTCAATTAATAAAGCATACCAAGTGTGCTCATCATTGGGGCGACCGTGGCTCACTGGCTTAAGAGGGTTGTCTGGTAACCGCAGGGTCACCGGGCGCCTGTCATTGGTAGCCCACTGCTCCCTATATACAGGGATGGGTCAAATGCAGAGGTCAAATTTCGTGTATGTGTATATGTATATGACAATAAAAAGGGTTTCTATTCTATTCTATTCTATTATTTCAGCACCGGCAGAGAGATAATAAAATCATCATGCACACTGAGACGGAATACCAAAAGATCTGTTTGGATTGTGACATGTTTCATAAATGTGTGTGCAGCATCAGTCTATACTAAAAGGAAAATATTGGAATAGCAAGACAATTATTAAGTCCAGGTGTTGAACATCATAGGACAAGGACTTTGACAGCCCTTCATTTCTTCTTCTTCCTAAAGGTCTCTTATAAGATGTTAGTAGAGACTGTTGTGTGGAATCACATGGGGAGGGCTACCTCCACAATAAACAGCTGCTGGAAATCCTGACACTGTTGGTGAAATTGGAACCTATTTGCCAAATAAATATGTTATGTCAAGAAAGAGAGCTCCAAACAACTCTCAGCCTCAACGCTGTGCAGCTGTTATTCCCCTGAGTCTTGCTTTATGTATTGGCATAGTTACTCCCCGAAGTGCTGCTGAACAAATACTTAACTCACCTCATTATATACAATATCCATGTGTATCCATGTGTCTTGCTCTGAAAATGAGAGCAGATCATCTATTAACAGCTTGGTTAGTGTTTCCGTCTCCTGCTCCTCCCGTCATGTTGAAGTCAAACTTGCTTTTTACCAGCACGTATGCATAGACAAGCAATTACAAATTGATGCAGTTTGCATAAAAAAATTATAATAATAATCCATCCATCCATTTTCCTCCGCTTATCCGGGGTCGGGTCGCGGTGGCAGCAGGCCAAGCAGGCTGACCCAGACCTCCCTCTCACCGTCAACATGTTCCAGCTCATTCTGGGGGATCCCGAGGCGTTCCCAGGCCAGCTGGGAGATGTAATCCCTCCAGCGTGTTCTGGGTCTTCCCCGGGGCCTCTTCCCAGTTGGACGTGCCTGGAAAACCTCCAGTGGGAGGCGTCCAGGAGGCATCCTAATTAGATGCCCGAACCACCTCAGCTGACTCCTTTCGACGCGAAGGAGTAGCGGCTCAAGTCCAAGCTCCCTCCTGATGACCGAGCTCCTTACCCTATCTCTAAGGCTGAGCCCGGCCACCCTACGGAGGAAGCTCATTTCGGCCGCTTGTAGCCGCAACCTTGTCCTTTCGGTCACGACCCAGAGTTCATGACCATAGGTGAGGGTAGGAACGTAGACCGAGTGGTAAATTGAGAGCTTTGCTTTCCGGCTCAGCTCCCTCTTCACCAAGACGGTCCGGTGCAGCTCCTGCTTTACTGCTGCAGCCGCACCGATCCGCCGGTCCATCTCCCGCTCCATCTTACCCTCACTCGTGAACAAGACCCCGAGATACTTGAACTCCTTCGCTTGAGGTAGGCACTCCGTCCCCACCTGGAGGGAGCAATCCACCGGTTTCTGGCAGAGAACCATGGCCTCAGATTTGGAGGTGCTAACTCTCATCCCGCCGCTTCACACTTTCCTGCAAACCTCCCCAGTGAATGCTGGAGGTCACGATCCGAGGAGGCTAACAGGACCACATCATCTGCAAACAGCAGAGAGGCGATCCCGAGACCCCCGAACCTGACGTTCTCCACCCCCAGGCTGTGCCTAGATATGCTGTCCATGAAAGTCATGAACAGGACCGGTGACAAAGGGCAGCCCTGGCAGAGGCCAACACCCACCGGGAACGTGTCTGACTTATTGCCGAGAATGCAATATAGTAATAATCCTTATAATTTAAAATCTTGCTTTATGATTACCATGTTTTGATGTTTTCTTTATTATATCAAACCTGATCCAGTGAATACTGTCTGCTTACACAGCATGATTCTACATGGTGTAGATTCACCAGGTTAAAGGAAATAGAGGCTGAGCTAACTGTGCTCACTATCAGTGCTGAGGCTCACAATGTTCCATCAATGTTCAGTGCCCCTCGGTGTCTGATACCGACACACTGGGGCACCCTTTAGTGTCTGTATAAGACACACCAGGCTTTCAACTAACTCCAATGTAAACCCATGCTCGCCGTTATTAGACAGTCAGAGCAATTGACGTTGTATAAAGAGCATGAAAGTCTGCAAAGGGCAGATTTGGACGAGGGGTGATTAGGATCCCAGGTCGATTGTATTAGCTTCCCTTAGAAGTGGTCAATTCTAGTGAGCAAATAGATACATTACAAATAGATAGGTTTCGTAACATTCAGTCTACATTAACATATTTAATGAAATACAGCAAATAGTGCCTTTTGAAATGTGGACATGCTGGAACTCAAGAAGAGGCCCCAGCATTGTTCACTCTGCAGCATTTCATATTCAACATTTAACCTCAGTTGCTTGTTTATAAGTGTGTTTAGGTACACTTAGCTGAAACTACACACTTAAATGTACACATGTGTTTGCTTGTGTCTTCGCTTAGGTGGTAACACCAAGAAGAAGCAGTACAGGAAACGTATTATGATCCAGATACCAGCCAATGGGGGACAGGACTGTCCTGAAGTTCTGACCCAGGAGAGAGAGTGTGATGCTCCATCTGTCTGTCGAGGATACAGGTAAGCTGGTCCTATTCAACATTTAAACACCTGCAAACATTACGCAGTGACAACCTCGTAGTTGTAATTACAAGTCGGAGTTGTGGGTCATTTTGGATGCCGGTGATGTCCTCAAATGGCCAAAAGAACTGCACACAAGCGAATCGTCTGCAGTTATTTTTATTTAAATTCTGACTTAACTCAAGTCCATTGCTACTTTCACATGGCATACTCTTGCACCCTTTTGATCATGGCCTTCATTATGGATTATGACAAGGTACTGAGTCGATGTTCCTGTAGTGGAGGATTTATTGTCCTCAAGATTATCATTTTGGTGATGGCTCCATCCATTGCTTTATTGAAGGAGGTAATGAATAGTACATTTTCTAGAGATTGCTAGACTCTTATTCTTACCCATCGGATCCAGGATATAAAAGTGGCCACCATTCACTCCACCCTGCATCTGATTGCTAAACACTTCTGATTCTCATACCTATTTATTTTTTTTAGATGGAAAACCCATAAGTGGCGAAGATGCCAGCTGGTTCCATGGTCAGTACGTCAGGACAGTCCTGGAGCTCAGGAGACCTGTGGGCCCGGACTGCAGGTTCGGGGTGAGGACACACACACAGACACATGCACAGATTACACAAACATTCACACATGTTGAGTTCTTCTTTATATGAACACATTAGTTAGACAGAGCAGGAAGAACAGCGTAATCAAAAAGGCATGAGATAGAGCCGAGATGTGGTTTCAGTGGGGATTTGGGAACACTGATCAGATCCTTCCATCTACATGCTCTATTCCAAAGAGCCTGGGATACAGCACTGGGCATCAAAGCAGTACCTGGGGGCTGCATACCACTTTCATTTAGCTGTGGATGTCATGGGACTGAGAAGAGTCTCAAATCTCACCCTCTCTACAAAACCAATAAACTTAAAGTATGGGTTTAAATGCCAGCGGTGGGTAGAGAATCTCACAACAAAACATGACCTGTGGCCTGAGTGAGTATTGAAGCAGACAGTTGACTTGCTATCAGTGGACACACTCAGACTCCTGTCTCAGAGACAGAGACCATTATCAGATTCCAATGATGAGCATCCTGCTCCTCCATTACCTGTAATAGTATACTCTGAGCTGAAGAGACACAATTCAATACAAGCCTCTTACGATTCACCCATTCACTCAATACAACGTGTGGAAGGCAATAGCCATTCTACTAGTATGTCCCATGAATGTGTGTGTGTGTGTGTGTGTGTGGGGGGGGGGGGTTAAGAAAGGTAGACGGAGTGATGATGATTGGGTGTTGGTGTTTTTATTGTTAACATATTGTCAACATATTGTCACCGCCAGCATGCCACAGTACAACTCCCAGTATTTCCATGATGTACTACTTTATACTTGTATAAGAAAAATGTACTTTTTACTCCACTACGTCTATTTGAAGGCTACAGTTACTTTACAGAGTTAGTGTAGATGAGCTAATGAAATATGACGCAACGACCAACGTTATGTAAGGTAGTTTAGATTAACCCTATCTTGTCAACTACAATAATATATGTATGCAATAACTCATGTTGTTCGGCCCAAAACATCATCAAGTAAATCCAAATGCTCATCAAATCTACACAGTATGAATAATACATTGCACAGTATATTGCATAGATATTAGGGACTTAATCAATGTCTTTAAGGAAGTCATGGGGCATGTTTCTCAAAAGTGTAATACGTGGAGCAACTTTTTAAATGATCAAAACTTCCAAAGGAACATAGCTCTTTGCAACTTACGTTTCATTATAAACAACATCCTCATCATTTAGTTTTCTAAACGAATGAGTCACACAGGAGGAGGAGCTGTAGAAGGTGATACTAACGGTCCCTTTTGTTTACACATCCAATATTGTGTAAAATGCACAGCACACTGCACTCTATGTACTGAATTAAAGCATGTTTTATTCAGGAAACTGGATGATGGTAGGGGCCGACTGTCTCAAAGTATAGTGTATATTGGAGTGTTAGTGTGGAGCGTCAGACCCAACGATCTACTGTGGACACACAGATGACTCTTATCTTCTCATCATTTAAATCAAAGTTGACCATGACCTACAAAATGAGAAGTGTCCTTCCTCATCAAATTCTCTTCACTCCTTTACCACTGTAGCTGTTTCGTGCCGGAAGCAGGACGGTGGGCAGGCAGACGTTGAAGCTTGTCTTAAGTTTGCCAGCTCCATGCCGCCTCTCACACACCCCTGCCAGCTGCCCTGCCAGGAAGACTGTCAACTCAGCAGCTGGTCCAAGTTCTCCTCCTGCACAGCCGATTGCGTGGGTGTCAGGACCCGCAAGAGGATGCTGGTCGGTGAGTGACAGACTTTGATTTCAAGCTGACTTCCAGATTACATCAATCTTTAGAGGAAGATCAGTAGATATGAAGAACATTTTGAATTTGAAATTTGTATTTGTGTAATATGAGAGGGCTACAAACAACCCTGTTCTTTTCTATATCTAAATCTCTACACTTCTACAGGGAGCAGTCACTAAGCTGCCTCAATGAAACAGCGGGGGCTCCAAGCCTTGCTGAAGGACCAACAATCATGAAATGGCATAATTAACCTAAACCTTAATTAAGTTAAGGGTTAATGTTTTGTTTTTTTTTGTTCCAGGGAAGAGCAAAAAGCATGACCAGTGTAAAAACAACCAGATGTACCCCCAGAGCGAGACCCAGTACTGCCCATGTAACAAATACAACGCCCAGCCTGTGGGCAACTGGTCAGACTGTGTCCTACCTGAAGGGGGCCGCATGGAAGGTCAACTGGGCATGAAAGTCCAAGGTGACATCAAGGAGTGTGGCCAAGGATATCGTTACCAGGCCATGGTGTGCTACGACCAGGACAACCGCATAGTGGAGACCTCTCGCTGCAACAGCCACGGTGAGTTGTCCATGCTCAAAAAACTCTCTCCATCTTTAGAAAACACCAGCATTAACAGAATCAGAATCAGACTCAGAATCAGCTTTATTGGCCATGTATGCTTACGCATACATGGAATTTGTCTCCGGTTTCCACTCCGCTCTCAATGTACAAACACAAATTTACAATAAACAAGACAATATATATATAAAGAATAAAAAGGGCAGCAAAAAAAAGTAGAACCGATGTAGGTATAGACATTTAGCTATATACAATATAAGTATAAATATATATTCAAGAGAAAAAGTGTATATATATATATATACACATGTGAACATAAACCTATAGACAATGGCATGAATTATAAGTGGCGGTAATAGTGCAGTATAACTTATTTATTGTTCATGAGAGTGATGGCCAGTGGAAAGAAGCTGTTCCTGTGTCTGGTGGTCTTGGCGAACAGAGCCCTGTAGCGCCTACCAGAGGGGAGGAGTTGAACAGCTTGTGTCCAGGGTGTGAGGTGTCTGCAGAGATCTTTTCAGCCCGTTTCATGACTCTGGAGGTGAACAAGTCCAGGATGGAGGGCAGGCTGGAACCAATGATCCTCTCTGCAGACCTGACAATCCGTTGCAGTCTGTTCCTGTCCTGTTTGGTGGCTGATCCGAACCACACAGTGATAGAAGAACAGAGAACAGACTGGATGATGGCTGAGTAAAACAGGATCAGCAGCTCCTGAGGTAGGTTGAACTTCCTGAGCTGGCGCAGGAAGTACAACCTCTGCTGTGCCTTTTTCCGGATGGTGTTGATGTTGGAGGCCCACTTCAGGTCCTGGGAGATTGTGGATCCCAGAAACTTGAAGGTCTCCACAGCAGACACAGTGTTGTTGTGTATGGTGAGGGGGGGCAGTGTTGGGGGGCTCCTCCTGAAGTCCACTGTCATCTCCACAGTTTTGAGCTTGTTTAGCTCCAGGTTGTTCTGACTACACCAGAGGACCAGCTGTTCAACCTCCCGCCTGTACGCAGACTCATCACCGTCCCTGATGAGGCCGATGACCGTTGTGTCGTCTGCGAACTTCAGGAGCTTGACCGTTGGGTCCTCTGAGGTGCAGTCGTTGGTGTAGAGGGAGAAGAGCAGTGGAGAGAGCACACAACCCTGGGGGGCGCCAGTGCTGATAGTCCGGGTGCTAGATGTGATTTTTCCCAGCCTCACCTGCTGCGTCCTGTCAGTCAGGAAGTTAATGATCCACTGGCAGGTGGAGGCTGGCACAGTGAGCTGAGAGAGTTTGGGTTGGAGTATTGCTAGGATGATGGTGTTGAACGCTGAGCTGAAGTCCACAAACAGAACCCTTGCATATGACCCTGGGGAGTCGAGGTGTTGCAGCATGTAGTGCAGTCCCATACTGACTGCATCATCCACCGACCTGTTTCCACCGACCAGCAGGGGCCCTGTGATGTCCTTCAGATGGGTCAACACCAGTTTCTCAAAGGATTTCATGACCACAGACGTCAGCGCGACGGGCCTGTAGTCATTCAATCCTGTGATGGAGGATTTCTTGGGGACCGGGATGATCGTGGAGAGTTTGAAGCAGGAGGGTACTTCACAGAGCTCCAGTGATCGGTTGAAGATCTGTGTAAAGATGGGGGCCAGCTGGTCAGCACAGACTTTCAGGCAGGAGGGTGACACACCGTTTGGGCCTGGTGCCTTCCTGATCTTCTGTCTGTGGAAGAGCCGACTCACATCCTCCTCGCAACCAGTTCAATTGCAAAACACAGATTTTAATTACAACAAATCATTAACTCCCAGTGGTAAAAAGGTTTATAAGTTACAGCGTTTTACTAAGTGTGTCAGTCAAAGAATGCACCAGCTAAATAGTGGATCGATCTATATTACTTCTCTGTCATAAATGATTGCAACAAGTCTGACGTATGACCAATAGCTTATGGTGGATACTGTTAGCAAACGTTTGATAGCTATTGCTGATAACTCATCTAGCTGACTTTGAGGCTCTTCTACTCTTCTACTGTTACATTATATTTTAGCATACACCACGGATTTCAGGAGTAACCCATTTTCCCACACTCCCACACCACATTAGTAACGTGGACATTCAACACATCCCCAGTTGGCAGAAAGTGACAATGGCAACATTTGTTCTGGAGACTGAATGGCTGGGTTTAGAGACCTGGGTTCTCCCTCTTCCTCCTTCCAACAGTCATCTTTGATTTGTTCAACCATGAACACAATCTTGGCCTTTGTGAGGCTCGTATGTGTTGTTGGGGAAGATACTGACAATCAGCCTATTGTTGGATGTAACTTATCTTAAATGTGGACCTAAAAAAAGACAGACCTTGAAGCTGAATAGTAGTAATTTCTTCATAATAATTTTATTTATTTCTATCATGTGAAGACTTTATATATATTTTCTCACTGAAATATGTTAAGTAGGCAAGAATTGTTCTTCTATGAGCAATCCTGTCCCAATATTTCAGATCATTCGCCCTCAATCGACAGGACAACTTGGGAATGCATTGCTGCCAGCAGCCCAAAACAAAGAGAGAAAGGGGAATTATGAATCACAGTGCTGTCGTATTTTGCATCTTAGCCCTGTGAAAAAAGAGAACACATCAAAGCACTCGGGGGAACGAGTGTGTCTGCGTTTGCTTTGCTCCCGGTATGGGGCTGCTTGATGGTAACCGGCTGTAACTGTAAAAAGATACCGGACTCAGAGTCGCTACTGCTGCTTTCTTTCTCTCGGATTTCGGAGTCCTGCATTGGTTCTTTTTTGCTGGAGAGCACTGTGGTAATAACACAGTAAGTTTTTGCTCCCTTTGGCTGATAGATGTATCTTCTGGCTACAGCTGTAGTTCAGTGATGCTAGGTTTGTTTATGGCAGGAGTCAGGGAAAGCATCATATGCTTGAATCTGGAATCATCATCAGTGAGTAATAGCGAGAATGTTCGCTTAAGAAGTCGCTGATAAGCACCGAGGCTGGTGGTCTGTTTTTGGGAAGAAAGTCAGTTGTTATAGTGTTTGGATGGATAAGTCTGCTATCATCTGATTGGTTACAGGGTACATCGAGGAGGCTTGCATCATCCCATGTCCATCTGACTGCAAACTGAGCGAGTGGTCAAACTGGTCACGCTGCAGCAAGTCCTGCGGCAGTGGGGTCAAAGTTCGCTCAAAGTGGCTCAGAGAAAAGCCCTACAATGGTGGAAGACCGTGCCCTAAACTGGACCATGTCAACCAGGTGAGAGAGGTCCCACTTTAAACAGTGTGATTGTGATGTTTCAACACAATATTACGCCTGAATGCTTCTCTGAGGTTGAATGTGTCTGATGTATTTATAATGCTAGATGAAGGTTACTTTTATTAATGCCTTGAATGTACAACAATCTGAATCACTTTTCTCTGTTTTTCCTTTCTCTACTCTGATGAATGGTTTCCATCCACAGGCTCAGGTAAGCTTATCGTTATTTAATTTATGTTTTTATCCCTTTTTGTAGCAGTTATCTTGGGACTTGATTGTCTCTTCAATTCTGAAATTGTGTTTGTGTTGCGTTTAGTGAAATTGTGATAATAAATGCCCAACGAATGATTGTATACATTTGATGTTGTTCTTGTGAATCATTTATAATTCCTCATGGTAACTGCAGATCAGTTCCATAGTTTAAGGAAACAAAATATTTTTACATTTAAAAAATGTTTGTTGCTAACCGACATATTTGCTGCACAGAATCAGAGCCTAAATGTCATGTGTCTGCGTGTGTCAGGTGTATGAAGTGGTGCCGTGCCTTAGTGACTGTGGGCAGTATGTCTGGGTGGCAGAGCCCTGGAGTGTGTGGAAGGTCAGCAATGTTGACCTGAAGGACAACTGTGGTGAAGGTGTTCAGACCAGGAAAGTCAGGTAAGATCAAACCATGTCAAACCATGTCATGTTCTCAATCTGCATTCTTGTCAGTACTCGTGTTCTCTTGGATGTTTTTAATGTATTCAGTTTACATTCGGTTTTAAGTTCAAATTCATAGTCTGCATTTAGACAATTAAAACTTGTGTGAGCTGCGGGTAGATCCCAAAGTAACAACTGTTACTTTAGTTAGTTTGGAGATTCTTCCAGGTGAGAAATGATACATTGTATGTTGTCAATTTATCAAAGTAGTGCTTACTTAAAAATTCCTCTGATGTTTTTGGAGATGGGATCACAGTATTGTCTCGTATATTCAATTTATATTGTGTTCTTTGTGCATAAGAGATGATGATTGAGATATTACATTAATTGTCTGTTATCTCTGTCTCTGTGCATGTTAAACCTTCTTCTGCTGCAGCTTTTAGGTTTATCTGAGGGAGTTCAATTCAGATTTGACACATGTTGAAAGTATTGAAAGTATTACATAGTAGGATTGCTGTTGTGACTTTTACGTGAAATTGACCAGGGAATTTCAGAAATTAAGCCGACATGAGACAGAAAATATATGCCGTTAGATGCCTTGATAATCAGCTCAGTGGACCAGGCTTCTTTCCAATAGTAGTAGAAAAGTGAGGCCAATGAGGATGTATCTTAAACTTGCATTCTCTCTACTGACCAGCAGGGGGCGACTCCTCTGGTTGTATAGAAGTCTATGAGAAAATGACTCTACTTCTCTCTTGATTTATTACCTCAGTAAACATTGTAAACATGAGTTTATGGTCTCAATCTCTAGTTTCAAGTCTTATTCAATACAACATGATGTTCATTTCGTACATTATGGTCCATTTAGAGTCAAACAGACCATAAAGCAGGGGATGCTTTAGGGCGGGGCTACACGGTGATTGACAGGTCTCTACTATGCCGTTGTCCAATCTGGGAGTACACCGTGTTTTGTTCTTAGAACCCTTTCACAGTGTAGATTCAGTTGAAGAAAGTTATTTGTAATATTTTGGTTGCCTGTCTTCTTCGGCATTCAGTTATACTTAGCTCCACCCTGTCGTGTCACTTCTGCTTGCAAAAAAACAAGACGGCTAAAATGCCAAACTCAAGGCTTCAAAGGGGCAGTCCACAAACCAATGGGTGACATCCCGGCAACTATGTCCAGTTCTATGTCGATGGAAAAGACAAACAAATCTCGATATCCGGTGTTTGAAGACCGGAGGAAGCTGCAGCTGCTCAAAAAATGTACAAATCTTTGGCATTGTTTCAAAATTTGGAAAGTTAGAATTGTAGTGCTTGATTTGGAGAACAACAAACGCCTCAAACGCCTGAGATGGTAGAAAGGAATGGTGATGACATATAGGATATATTGAAACATTTATCTGAGTCAGAACCCTACGACAGTTTCTCAAAAACAAAAAAATGACCAATCAATTTATTTGAGGATTCTGTCTTGGGAAACAAAAACAAATTACAAAGGGAGGAACTTGTTACTGCAATTACTTCTTAACTTGGAATCCCCATCTTGTGTCCAGATGTATGCTGAACACTATAGATGGGCCCTCTGAGCAGGCGGAGGACTACCTGTGTGATCCAGAGGAGATGCCTCTGGGGGCCCGCAACAGCCGGTTGCCCTGCCCAGAGGACTGTGTGTTGTCAGACTGGGAAGCCTGGAAACCATGTCCACTGGTATACGTGACATATTACTTTCTCTGTCAATGCTTTGTGTTCACACATGAGGTAAATAGTCTTCAAACTGTCACTTTCACAAGCATTTATCACAAATCACACTTGCTGCATGAGGCAGAACTATACATCATGGTGTTGTCTGCATAATAATAATAGTAATAATGAATTAGTTTCAGCACAAATATGCAAAACCTGAAAGTCCACTCACATATCTGCTGCTTGTGTTTGAGTTGTGGCAGAAGGGGAGGGACCAATCAAAGTCAAATCTGCTCACTGTTGTCCCTCTACAAAATGTCTTTGTTGTTTTGATCCCAATCAGATCTTGATCAGGGTTTTGTGCTTTGGAGTCAGTGTGCATACATTACTCTTTTTAATGAAATGCTTGAAATGAAGTTGCATGAACATGAGTAGGCACAACGCAAAAAACACATCATCTTTAAACATGTTAAAGGAAAAAGTTGTGAGAGGTGTTTATTTTAATAAAATATTGAATGGAGACGAGGACATGAACAAAGTCTATTTGTACATGTACTGTAGCAGTATGGCTGATTAAGTCATGATCCTCTCTCTGCTCCTCAGCCATGCAGTGGGAACAGTTCTCGAGAGAGGAGCGCTTACCCGCTCCGACAGCCTGGAGAGGAGAAGGAGTGTCCTCCGACTCAAGAGACAGAGCTCTGCAAACTCAACAGCAACTGCTTCCACTACTCCTACAACATCACTGGTGAGACTCATGTAGAGCATCATCAATATGCAATTATCAGAGGCAGGGTAATTAACATGAAGCCACACTCTTTGCATTAAAAGCGTTTTAATGTTGGTGGTGCATGAGGCTGTTTGTCTGTGAGTTGTCTTTGCTGATGAAACGTCTCCATGCAGATTGGAGTACCTGCCAGCTCAGTGAGAGAGCAGTGTGTGGAAACGGCATCAAAACCCGCATGCTGGACTGTGTGCGCAGCGACGGCAAATCTGTAGACCTCAAGTTCTGTAAAGAGGTGAGTTTTCGTTTAGTTTTTTGTTTTTTCTGTTAAAGCCACTGTTTATTGGTTTTTGTCAAAGAGTAGCTAAAATCATGTTTTCTCTTGCAGCTGGGCCTGGAGAGGAAATGGCAGATGAACTCTTCCTGTATTGTGGAATGTCCCGTCAACTGCCAGCTTTCCGAATGGTCACCATGGTCTGAGTGCACCCATGCCTGTGGGCTGGCAGGTGTGTGCAGTACTCCTCTCTTTTTAAATTCTCAAAAGAAAAAACATATTCATCCCACTCACCTGACTCATGGTCTTCTGGAGAGCTCCTAAATCTGTGATTCCATTGGCATATTTAGCTTACCAGCATTAGCTGTATTACATTTTTTGATACATTCTTATATACTGCAGTAAATTGTTTGATATGGGAGTCAGGCAGGTATCTCAACCAGGTGTCCTATAGGTACAGTCTCAGTACAGAGTACTCCAGAAACCACGTAAATGACACAATTTTTAACGTAAAGGGACAGTATGTAGGATTTGGTGGCATAGTGCTGTGGTTGCAGATTGCATGTAACTGAATACACTTCCTCTCAATCCTTTCCAAGACTGCAGTAACATGAGCAGGCGAGTGCAAAGCCATGGTAACGCTGTTCTCGTCACTCAGAGGCCCTTCTTACCGTAACAACACTACTTTAGGAACAACGGCAGTCAGTTGGCGGCTGACGGTCCCGATGTACTCTGTGGCTCATGTTGCTGCAATTTCATAATCGTGCCGTAGGAACGCAATAGGCTCTCTCTCTAGAGCCAGTGTCTGGTTTGTCCGTTTTGGGCTACTGTAGGAACATGGTGGTTCAACACAGCCGACTCCATAAAGATGACCCGCTCCCAATGTAGATATGAAGTGCTTATTCTAAGCTAACAAAGACATTATCGTAGACGTCGATGCTGTTGTATTAAATGTCAAGCCGCTACTGCTCCCATGATGCCGCCGTGCTTTCTGAAATCACACACTGGGGCGGCGTTATGCAGCCATTGCTTGGTTCAGTTTGAAAAAGCAAAGCCGGCTTCACGGCAGATCTTCTTTATGGCAGTATTGCGGAATCTCTGTGTGAAAGGGGCTATAGTTATGAATATCATATTCCATTCCTGCTAATAGATCCCCCTGAAAAGCTACACACTGGCCCTTTAACCAATCCAATGCTACCTCTTCCCACGTCTTTTGATAATGTGCTTTCTTAGCTGCTACAGTGATCAGCTCTCAGTGGTCGGCTTCTCCTCCGGTAATGATGGAAACCAGAAACGCTTCATGACGTGAGAAACAATGATGTTATAGCCCTAAACCAACTGAGTGAGGGATAATAATGTCTGTGCATGTAATTCCATAGGATCAGGCCATTGATTGGCGGTCCATTACGAGTGTGTGCTCTGGGGCTCAGGGAGCACTCTGCTCTCCACGAGTCCTTGAGAAGAGCAGCTGCCAGAAGCAACAAGAGCAAATAGTAGACATGAAACCAATACAGGCTTTAGCTACTGTGGTAACCTTAATCTGTCCCCAGGCGAGAAGGATTTTTTGTCCTCGTACGGAGAACCAGCAGGTAGGCCAAAGGAACTGAGGATTTCCTCGCTTTCCTTCCTGTGTTTCTTTTTATCTCCAGGCTAGCTGCGAGGACATACTTTCCTGGAAGGGTTCGTTTCTTTTCCGGAGCCAGGAATAGCAATGATCTGGATTTGTGATTTCAAACAAATGGTCATACCTGGAAGCAGCAAGGTGCTGTTATCAGTCAGGTGTAGAAACACAGCTATTTTCCTGGATGTGTCCAACTTGTGTGCATAGATAATCATGACATTGTGTGTTCTCCAGCCAAACACTGATAGTGACAGGTGGCACATGCTTTTTTTTTTACCCAGCATCCCTCAATGCCACCCACCACTCAACGCCAAACACTGCCATGGCCGCCCGCAGGGAGACTGCTGAAGCATGAAAATCGTAATGAAGGGTGATAACTGCCTCCGTAGGGCGCTTGCAGCTTCTGAAATAAAACCAGAGAACAAAGAAGCACACAAACATGATGCTCAAAAACTTCGAACAGATTCACTTGAGATAGATAGATGTATACTTTATTCATCCCCAGGCGGAAATTTGTTTGTAGCAGCAGCAAACAAAGTTACAGAGTAAACGTAAGAATATGAAAGATGCTCAATATATACAATACGATAAGATAACAGAGCAGAATATAATAAATGTAAAGAAAATAAAAAATGCACAGTATATACAATAAAATAGAATGGTATTAAATTAACTAACTAGGTAAAAAAAAGTAGTACAAGGATCACCAACAGCAAACAACAACAGTGTAGCAGTGTTGTAGTCAATTGAAAGATGATCTGGCCAGAGGTGATTGTACAGTCTTATTGCAGAGGGCAGGAATGTTTTCCTGTATCGGTCCTTGCGAGGGTGGTCCGGGTTATCCAATATGGATAATAGTTTCTTCAGTGTCCTCCTCTCCACCACCTGTTCCAGATAGTCTTGTTTGCAGCCAATGGTGGAGCCGGCCTTCTTAACTAGTTTGTTAAGTCTGTTGGTGTCTCCGGCTCCAATGCTGCTCCCCCAGCAGACTACGGAGAAGTACAGTGCACTGGCCACAACAGACTGGTAGAACATCTCCAACATCTTGCTGCACATGTTGAAGGATCGAAGTTTCCTCAAGAAAAAGAGTTGACTCCTCCCCTTCTTGTACACAGCATTGATGTTGGTCTTCCAGTTCAGTCTGCTGTCGATGGAGACACCCAGGAACTTGTACTCCTCCACCATGTCCACATCCTCTCCCAGAACTCTCAGCGGTTGTGGAGCCGTCGTCTTCCTCCTGAAGTCGACCACCATCTCTCTGGTCTGGGCCACGACAGAAGCAGGTGATTTCTACCGGTTCACTCCACAAACTCATCCATTACTGCCCTTTACTCCTCCTCCCATCCGTCCCTTATACACCCGACCACTGCAGAGTCATCAGAGAACTTCTGCAGATGGCATGACACAGAGTTGTACTGGAAGTCAGTGGTGTACAAGGTGAACAGGAGGGGAGACAGAACAGTTCCCTGTGGGGCTCCAGTATCACTGTCCACCGTATCAGACAGCACACGGCCCAGTTGGACAAACTGTGGACTGCCTTAGAGGTAGTCAGTGATCCAGGAGACGGTGGACGCGTCAACCCCCACCACCCGCAGCTTCTCACTCAGCAGCACTGGTTGGATGGTGTTGAATGCACTGGAGAAATCAAAGAAAGTGATTCTCACAGAGACACCGGTTCCATCCAGGTGAGACTGAGCTCGTTGCAGCAGGTAGATGATGGCGTCGTCCACCCCCACATGAGGCTGGTATGCAAATTGCAGAGGGTCCAGTGAGGATTTCACCCGCGGTCGGAGGTGGGCCAAGACAGCCTCTCCAGCACCTTCATCACATGAGATGTGAGGGCAACTGGTCGGTAGTCATTGAGGCTAGATGGTGTCATCTTTTTTGGTTCAGGAACCAGGCACGACATCTTCCAGAGCACCGGGACTTCCTCCTGCTTCAGGCTCAGGTTGAAGAGGTGTTGCAGGACATTAGACAGCTGGATGGCGCAGGTCTTCAGGACCCTGGGGCTGATGGCATCAGGTCCTTCAGCTTTTCCTTGGTGGAGTCTCTCCAGCTGTCTTCTCACCTGGCCAGTCATCACAGAGAGGGGGGGTGGAAGAGCCATTTGATGTTGAGGGCTCTGTATATGCAGCTCACCAGGGGGGACAGAGGGGGAGGTGTTTGGTAGGTGTGGTGTGTGGAGGAGACAGATGAGGGCTGTGAACTAAACCTATTGAAGAAACAGTTTAGCTCATTTGTCCTCTCCAGGGAGCCCCCTGGTTGTCTTCATCTAACCCTGAAGACGGTTATCTGCTTCATCCCGGTCCACACCTCCTTCACGTTGTTCTGCTGGAGTTTGGCCTCCAGCTTCCTCCTGCAGGAGTCCTTGCACTCTCTGATCTTCACCTTCAGGTCGCGCTGGACTCTCCTGAGCTTGTCCCTGTCCCCAGACCTGAAAGCTGCTTTCTTCTTATTAAGAAGAGCTTTCAGGTCACTGATGATCCATGGCTTGTTGTTGGGGAAGCAGCGCACAGTCCAGGATGGTATGACGGTTTGTTCACAGAATTTGATGTATTCTGTGATGCAGTCCGTCATGCTGTTGATGTCCTCCCCATGTGGTCCACACAGCACATCCCAATCCGTTGACTCAAAGCAGTCCTGCAGGGCATCATTAGCCTCCTGAGACCACCTCCTCACAGTCCTGGTGGTCACAGGCAGCCTCTGCACCAGAGGAACATACTTTGGTGTTAACAGGATCAGGTTGTGGTCAGACCTGCCAAGGGGGGGAAGGGCAGTGGCACTGTATGCATCCTTGCATTAGCATGGAGAAGGTCCAGAGTTTTATTGTTCCTTGTGGGGCAGTCAACATACTGGTGAAAAGTTGGCAGGGCTTTACCCAGAGTGGTGTGGTTAAAGTCTCCAGTAATTGCCAAAAACGCACCAGCATGTTGACTCAGCAGTCCAGACACAGTGGAGTGGATTGTGTCCACTGCTGCCTCAGCGTCAGCTGATGGCGGGACGTACACAGCCACAACAATGGCGGACGTGAACTCCCTCGGCAAATAATATGGACGCATCCCCACGGCTAACAGTTCAATGTCCGGGCTACAGAAGCGTTCTTTCACACACACATGGTCAGGATTGCACCACCTCTCGTTCACATACACGGCAATCCCGCCACCTCTCTTATTACCGCTCTGTATAACGTCTCTGTCCGCCCGAACAGTCCTGAAGCCGGGCACCGACCCACTGTGGTCCGGGAAATCCCTGTGCAGCCATGTCTCCGTGAAACACATGACGCTACACTCACGGAAGTCTCTCTCAGTCTTAACCAGCGCGCCAAGCTCGTCCGTCTTATTCGCCAAAGACCTCACGTTCCCCGTTATAATCGCCGGAACTGAAGGTTTGTACTTCCTCGTCATAGCCCTCCGCTTAGCGCCCGACCTGCAGCCCCGAGCCCTTCTCCGTAGTTCCACCGGGATCTCAGGCCTGGTGGCGGGCAAAAGCCGCGGTTTGCTCAGCGCAATCAGCTGATCGTGGGAATAGACAATGGCCCCAGTCATTGGGTGTGGCTCTCCGTACAAACAGGAAGAAAAGTAACAGAAAGCCACGAGAAAAGTTGAGAAAAAGTTACGGTCCGTTGTCTGACCGTAATTTAAACCAAACGTGAAGGAAAAAGAACAAAAGAAGAGAAGAAAAGTGAAAAAAAAGACAAAAAATTAAAACACACACAGGGAGCTGCTGCGACAGGCAGCCGCTGGTGCGGCGCCATCTTGAAGGGAGGAACATTTGGGCAGGATGTGTAAGTGGGTCATTTTTAAGGTAATACATTCGCTTTGACAGCTTTTGGGGGCGACTGTGGCTCAGTGGTAGAGCAGGGTCGTCCTTAAATAAGAGGAGAAGATCCCCGTCTATGCTAGTCCATGTCGATGTGTCCTTGCAAGACACTTAACCCAAAGCTGCTCCCGTAGCTGTGCCTATAGTGTATGAATGAGTCCTGATGGGCAGGTGGCATCAGTGTATGAATGGGTGTGAATGGGTGAATGATGACATGTAGTGTTAAAGCGCTTTGAGAGGTCGGAAGACTAGAAAAGAGATATACAAGTACAGTCCATTTTACCATTTTTACGTTTTTTGTCTGTCCGGGGGGGGGTCAAGCAATCATTTAATGCAGCTAGCTAGATAACTAGATATGATGTGTTATTTACTGAATGTGTTGCTGTTTGCTTCATTGCTCTAGCTGAAGAGATTCATATCAATTTTCTTTTCTAACTATCAGAAAAAGGTGAATAAATAATAGTTTACCAAATGCTGGACTATTTCTTGACGGCGTTAAGTACATTACATTACATTTAGCAGACGCTTTCATCCAAAGCGACTTACAATAAGTGTATTCAACATAGGTATTAAGAGAACTACTAGTCACTAGAAGTCAGAAGTGCATCTCCTTTTTTAACCAAGCATCTAAGAGCATAAACCAGAGCATAAGTACAGTGCAGAAACAAACTAATACGAATACAATAAGTGCAACAAACTAGTATGAATACAATTAAGTGCTAAGTGGAAGGCTCAGGGTAGTACTTCTTGAAGAGGTGAGTTTTCAGCCTGATGAAAGATGGGCAGCAACTCTGTCAGTTTATTCCACCAGGACAGAAAAAAGCCGTGACCGGGTCGATCAGCCGCAGTATCAGCCCTAGACCACTTGAGAATTGTATTTGTTCTGTTGGTAATTTTAATAATAGTGACTTTTTGTCATATTTGACACTATATCCTGACTCAAGTACACGAGACAGATAATCTGGGATGAAATACAGTTGCTTTGGCTCCTTTTAATCCTCTGCATGGCATTTGCAAGATTCCATTGGGCCCAAAGGAAAACAACCATTCAGAGTTGAGGAGTCCCAAACGCAGCGTCAAGCACTTCTCGTGAAGCTCCTGCACCCATATCAAAGGGTGAAACTAGGCAGTGCTGATCAAACATGAATTAATATGAAAATGAGAAAGTTTGCTCTGGTTGGTGGGCGGTGCTTGGTTTTGGCTCAACTGTTTTCAATGTGGCAGCCGGGTCACAAACTTTCTGATTTCATTGCGAAACAGTACACTTAAATATGTTTCTTGTGAGAAATAGGCGCACTAACAGAATCGTGATTCATAGTTGATAAGCACTGCCCAGTTTGACTGTTTAATGGGATAACACACGCTTCATGGGCAGTAATTGATACTGAATTAGAGACTCATTGGCTCTGATTGGTAGTTTTTCTTTGGCCACAGTGGAATCTTGTCATTAGGGACCGTAAAAGGAGGCGGATGAACCTATTATTTTTCAGAGATTATCTGTTTCATCTACTACTGTCAGGATATAGTGACAGTTTGGGCAAATATGATAAAAAGTTATTTTCACAAAAGTTTCCAAATGCAGCTTTAAGGTTAAACCTGTTCTTAGAAGTTGTTCTTACATGATCGTCATAGAGGATTTTACAATGAGCTTTTTTCATGCAGATGGTTTGTTGGAAGATGAGCTGGCAGCTGGTGAGACCTGACATACCAATAACAATTCCCGGAGATCATGTTAATCAATCCTGCATGAATCACAGTCAATGTTTTCTTTAAAGGGGTCTATAGCTCTTAAAATGACATTTTTGAAGTAAATCAAACTATTTTACATTTACTGTCTCCCCTTAAAATAAAACTATGAAATGACCCATTTGTATTATTTATGCTTCACAAATTGTACTTTTGAATACACTAATTTCTGTGATTTATGATACCTACTTTCCTATTTCATGTCACTTGAAGTATTATCGCTGTAGTATTAGTTTTAGGTGGTACGGTGGACCAAAACTACAGGCACTCCCTTGGCGACAGCAGCTGATTGAGTTTTCTCACATCCCTCCCCTGGGGCAAAAGTTAAAATGCAGAGTGAATTTGTTGAAGGGCGCTCCGACCATCCTCCCCAGTCATATCCTCCAACCTAAGACTGTCACTTGTTTCATTTTAACACAACAAAGGAATCTGAATATTCGAAAATGGCTACAGGGAGAATGATAAAGCTCCAAAATTGTACCATAAATTAAGTCAGCTAAAAGAGAAGTGTTGAATTATCGCCCTGGGACAGAAGAACATGAAAGAGGAATTCAGACTGTATTCCTGGGAATAATACGGTTACTGGAGAAATTTACCCAAATGTAGAGTAAACAATGGTACAAAATCAGGTGTCATTACAGTGGAGGTCAATACTCGGATGCATAACACTACACAACGTGGACCTTGTTTGAAAATGTAGACGTTAAGACATCATTGAGATGATGAGAGTTGCCCACAACAACCTCAATGTTTCTCTGGTGGCTGCTGTGCAGCTTAGTGGAAATACTCAAGTAGTGGCCTTTAGTTACCTCATCAGAGGAAATTAAGCCTTTATGTCAGATTTCTTAATTGTTGTGTTTTTGTAAGAAATCTCCCTGTTTTCTAATCTGTCATTTTGCCATATCGCCAGTATTGTTTTTGCTTTTGAGCGAGTCATTCTAGACGCTCAGAGCAAGTACGCTGGAAGTCATGTGATGCAGGATGAAGAGCGACAAAGTCCGCGTAGGCAGGGGGATGGAGACACAGGACTTTCACCCAGTAGAATGCTGTTTGTGTCCCGTTTGAAACCAAGTCAAAATTGACTTATTTACATTCATTTATTTGAACCTAAACCATGACCTTTTCCTGAACCTAAAGTAGTTTTGTTTGAATTCATAACGATAACAATGTGTTCAAAACTGAGACGGTGCGTTCGTATGTGACGAGCTGAGAATCAGAAAGCAGAGAACGCTAGATTTCAGAATGACCCAACCAAAAATCCCAGCCCAGTGATGCCAACTCTGGGTAAGTCCCCCCTGACCGTCCTGCCTTGCTCCAGTCATAATTAATACAGCCACTAAAGGTTGTATCTTAACAACAAATGTAAATAAGTCGTAATCAGCTGCTTGCACAGACGACCTATACGGCCTGTTTTTTTGGGTGAGGGGTGTTTGATTTGTATTCATCGTTTCTGTTAGTAGCTAACTTAACCCATCCTCCATGTTTATCTGTTGTCTTCAGTGTAATACACGTTCTTCAATAACAGAAATACTATTTTTGACTTGTGCATTTGTACAGTGTTGTGAGAATGACATGACAGTAAACTGAATTTAACATGAGTAATACTAGAGTGATTTCACTGTCATCCCCCTTCATTAGAGACTGGCCTTCATGTATTCATGCTGGCCATCACCTTAACACCAGCTTTGATGAGAGACTCTGCTGTAGCTACAGTGGTGAAAGGCCCAGAGGTCACCTGGACATTGTAGTATTCCAAATCACTCGACACCCACACAATTGCAGCTGCTTTGACCTGACTGTCTTCCTCATCTCAGTCAACGTCCTCATGAATACATCATTCTTTTTTGTCTTCTTTTTATCTGCTGTTCTGCAGGCAAGCTGTGGAGGAGGCGGACAGTGATCCAGGCTCCCCAGGGTGACGGCAGGCCTTGTGCGTCCCAGATGGAGCAGTGGAAGCCCTGTCTGGTGAAGCCCTGTTACAGCTGGAGATACAGCTTCTGGTCCGAATGCAAGTCTGAGGTCAGTCCGTCCTACTGTCTATCAGAAGACTCCATCTTTCTATGTATTGTCTGAGCCGCTTCACTTCAATATAGGGACAGTACGAGCATCAGTATTCAGAATTGTTAAAGAAATTTGGCATGAAAAGATTACATGACTACAGAGATCATTATATCATTCTGATATTAGAAATATTGATTATCAGTGAAAATACTCATTACCAACAGGTCCAAAATATATCTATACTGTTTCAACCTTTAAAATCCCATATCAATAGACCCGTATACGTTTTTATATTTATGTAGCAATGAATAATGTGATATTGTAACAATTCCTGTATAATCATTATACAAACTGGAACTTATAACAGAACATGGGCTGTGATCTTAAACTGTCATTTCATAATATTGACTTTAATACAACTCTCAACCACAGCCCTAAAAGCTGTAGGTCACAATACAAGGACAATGTTGCTATCCTTAGAACCCTTACCACACTGTCAGAAATGATCAAATTAGCAGCGGAGCCATTTTTGTCAAAGCATTTGATTTATTGTAACAGGACGATTTTGGACTGAATCACTTTATCTCATTGATAAGCTTTCTTTCTGGCTTTCTTTTCTCTCTCTCTTCTTTTACTTGTTTTCCTTCTTATTCTTCCCTATTTCCTTCCTCACCTTCAACATTGTTTTCCCGTTGCCTGAAGCATCTTATTACAGGCTGTGTAAAGTGCTCAGAGTGAGCAGAAGACTAGAGAGGTGATATACAAATGCAAGTCCATTTACAATGGAAGTCCATTACTTTGACAGGCTGAGGGACGCCTGATGAAATACATTTCAGATGTTTCTATTCTTACTTCACAGTGAACAGCAGCTCATCATCAGCCCAGAGTTGCTGCTTCTTTTTTAACTAAAAGCAATTACAAAGAGTTTAGGAAAAAAACGTTCAATCTTTTGAAGGCCAGCTGGATCATGTTAGTGTAAACTGCTAGCTAACTCTGCAGGATAGCATCTGAAGCGTGAGTTCATTATACCCCACATAGAAAGGTGTACTTAACCTGCATATATGTGTTTTATGTTTCATCAGGGGGCGAGGTGTGGAGAAGGACTGCGCTTCAGGAACGTGTCGTGCTTTGTGTCGGACGGTTCAGGTCAGCAGGAGAGCAGCCTGGTGGATGATGAGCTGTGTGGAGATCTGGAGCCCTCGGTGGACGGAGATGCCCACATTGTCCTGCAGGAGCCCTGCACTGTACCCTGTCCAGGTAGGAATACATACATGAATAGTGAATAGTGAAACAAAGTTGACAGGTATCATCCCTGCAGCAATCCTTCCCCCAGACAACAAAGCTGGCCTTGCTTATTCTGAGGGATTATTCAAAATGATTACAACTTTGGTCTCTTGTACATTTGGGGAAAATAAAATAAAAATTGAACTGGAATGCGGCAACATTGCTAAAAAGTACTCCGCAGTAAGATGATCAGGGAGGTTGTAACAATTCCAATAAAGCTTATTACAAACAAGACAACCACATCCTCAACAATGTTAACAAAAAGAGAAAGGCACCATTGATTTGTCTCATTTTATTATGAACGGAAAGCCAAAAAAGGCAGAAAGGTGACCAGATTCTAAAACAATCAGGGAGTGACTAATTCAAGGTTGAAATGACAGTGTCATCCAGGCTCAGACAGTATGATGTTGTATATTGGTAAGACAACATCAACATAGAACCGTATTCAATATCGCTAGTAGCACCAATAATGCTTCTTCTAGGTTTTTACAATAACAACAAAAGACCTGACGGCTGACGCATTTATTGTTGAGTGTGTTTGATTATAGGAGCTTCAAGAGCTCCAGAGTGTGCCACACAATGCAACGCTGATGTTAACAGGTAGGAGGAGGGGAGGGGGGGGCAATGTAGGAAAACCTCTCAGCTGCTACCAAGTTGCTGTAAAAAGAAAACTGTCTGTGGTTACAGCAGCTGCAGTGTGTGAATAGCATTTACTCAAGTGTGTGTGTGTGCATGTGGATACTCCAGCTTGGATTGCGTGTGTGTAATCAAGTTAAGTGGCTTAGTGAAGACCACAAGGTCAGAGAGGACTCTCTGATCTGGTTCCTGTGTCCATTCTGACATCCATTCACGTTGATGGAAAACTAGTTTAATAGACAGAAAATGTGATTTTACACTTTGATTTTTTGTCAAATGATTTTTCTTTTGGACTGCTGGATTTGTGATTAATTGAATGTGCAGGAATATGCTCAAATCTGCCTTGACATCACAAAGGGAACAGTGTAACCTATTTTACAGAGAATCTTCTCTTTGCTAAGAATGGGCAGGTGATATTAATGAAGAATGGATCATGCTTTTATTGACCTTTGTCCCACCACACAACCTTCCACTGCAAGTAAGTGAAGTTGATATTTGAATGGGTACACCTGTACCTGAATGAAATGTCTCATATCTTCTATGATATCTTTAAGATTGCAGGAGTTTTAAAGATACAAAATCGTCCAGTTTTCCTGTTTTGCCTCAGCTTTCAAACATCTCACGGTTCAGGGTAAAAACACACTTCGTAATGACAACCAATCTTCTAGTCCTCAAAGTACTTGTGTGGCTCAAGTGCTGATTGGAGGCTTTCCAGTTCAAATGTGGAAAATTGGCACAACTAGACGCATGTTATGTGAAGTGCCATTAAAATCAGACCTTGATTTGAAATAGGCCTATTGTCGAACGGCCCTGCTTTATAAGCATATTCTATATTTTAGTAAACCTCCACGTTTCCTGATCGGCTCCTGTTTAGTTGTCAAAGCAAACGCAACACTTCCTCACTCTTTGGGCTGTTGTCTTGATAAATTAACTTCATACGTTCCCACAGTACAGCAACACACTGTCATGGTCACCATTCTGCTGCTCTCAGTTTCTCTTTATAACAGTAATAGCTTCCGTGACGCTGTTAAGCTACGGTCAATGAAACTCAACGTTTCCCTCAAATGATTTATACATTAAAAGTCTAAAATCCCTTTCTGCTTTTATTATGAAACATATGCAGGAAGTTTCCTGGTAGTAATGAATTTAGAGAACTCAAGGTTCACTTATTGCTTTTTATGCCTTCAACCACATCTCCGTCAGTGGATGCTCTTGGCTCAGTTATCATGGAAGTAGCTCTCTTGTCTCACTGTGACGATGCGATGCAGTTGAAAGCACTGAAAGATCAGTCATTTTCTTTTTTTGCCAAACTTTTACTGTTTTACTGTTTTTACTGTTTACAATGTCAATAATCTATTGTTTTGTATTTATTGAAAGTGGCTGAGGAGTGACTTAATTGTGAGCAAAGTAGAAGCAATTGGAATTGATTGTATAAACCAGTACATGACAGTCCAGTTAATTCAATTGATGAAATTGTCAAGTGTAAAAAGAATGGTAGCAAGGGTGTTTGATGCATTAATTATGGCCCCACCAAATGTACTTGCTTAACGTTAGCAAAATCAGTAATGTTCCTCTAAATGCAGCATGGGGATTTAGAGTTTTGGTTTCTCAACTCCTTCTACGATCTGTAGGAGAGTGCTACCTGACGGACTGGACTGTTTGGAGCCCGTGCCAGCTAAGCTGCGTGAGCGGGGATGACCTGGGTTTCGGCTCAGTCCAGGTCCGATCTCGAGCCGTGGTGGCCCAGGATCCAGAGAACCTGCTGCATTGTCCAGAACAGGAGCTGGAGGCTCGGCCGTGTACAGGTCAGTCTGGCAGAGTCCTGCTGGAACTCAAAATGACAATAAAGTGATTCACAGAAGCATATTCAGCCCTGTCGCATGGAAAAAAGGTAGTATATCCAGAGGCTGTTATTGAAATTGACGTGGTATAATAACAATATAATAAGCGAACAAGTCCTCAAAGGAAGGATGGGAGTGGTGATCGATGGGTCAAACAAACACAGGACTTTCACCCAGGAGACCGCTGTTTGTGTCCTGTGTGAAACCAAAAGTAAGCTCTGACTTTAAGCTTGTTACGTAACGTTGTAATGCTTGTTATGTAACACCACAAAACAAAGTCCGTCAGGACAGTTGTTATTTATCTTAGCTAGTTCTGTTGTTACATTACGTTGTTGTGTTATTATTTCAACACAAACATGATCTTTTTTCTAACTGTAACCAAGTAGTTTCATCTAAACCTAAATAATGGTAAAATGGATGATAAATGGACACACCCACACACCATTCACACCCATTCATACACTGATGGCAGGGGCTGTCATGCAAGGAGCCACCTGTCCATCAGGACAGGTGTCTGGCGACTGGGTTGGGCATATTATAGAATTATAGTTGGCCTATAAGCTACATTGTTATTAAAGCTTTTAACAAAGTCATGATCATGCTCTTCTTGCAGAGGGTCAGTGTTTTGAATACAAGTGGAAGACTGGACCATGGAGGGGTTCATCTCGCCAAGTCTGGTGTCAGCGCTCAGATGGACTAAATGTCACAGGTAAGCATATTGTACCTCTATGTGAAATTGTTGATGGCTATTGTGAACTGGAATTAGAACTTGGTTTATGTAAAGTAGACCACGCTGTAGTGTTAGCCAGTCTTAGTTTTGAACAAAAACTTAAATGAACCTACACTGCTATCCAAAATCTTTAGACCACCCTCCAATCAGCAAAAATAAATAATAATAATAAATAAAATATCCCTCCCCTTAAAGGGGAAATGCCATTTTAAATGAATGAAGGTGATATTTTTCATCCTTTTCTTTTTTGCTTTACAATATTCTCAATTCATCCATCTAGTTCAACACAAGACCATCAAAAATTAGACAGTATTTTGCAACCAATGAAATGAGATGTCTACAGTCTGACGATTCAGATCTATCCATGTGAAATCAGACCCCTGACATTGTGAGTATTAAACAGCCTGTGTAGACCAGCCTGTGGCCTTGAATCGAGTCAAATAGCATGGATGTGACCATAATGGGTTAAGCTGCGCTTAACACAGCTCTGACACATGAGGTGTTGCAATGTGCGTGGCGAGGTGATAATGTAGATAGGGTTACTTAAAACCGTCTCCTCTGGAGCGTCAGAACCCCAGACAGCTTCCTAAGCATTTCTTGACACTAAATCCCAGGAAACTGTAAGCAGATGAGGTTTTAATCCATAGCAGGGCCACCGTCAACATTTAATCTCATTGTCCATCACATGTCAGGGTTAAACTCAGCGCTGATAACGTTGTTCCCAGTTCCTCAAAGCATCATTTCTCATCTGATATGGCATTAGATTTGAAGGGCTATCTGGAAAAACGGATTCCTCTCTTTAGGCCATCTGCTTTTATTTACCACTCATGCTTCATCCAGGCCTGGAGCCATCTCATATTTCTGGGCTCGCTGAGCATCTAACACTCCCTGAGCCCTGAGTTTAAGTGAACGAGGACCGTCAGCGCACCCACTGCTCCAGATGGTGTGCCTATGTGCGCCTACTTTGATTGGCACACTGCATATTTTTCCTTCTTGTAAATGTTTCCTTGCAAGCAGTGGTACTCCCCTCATGAATATTCATACTGAGCTCTCTTTGCGGGCATGCCACCTAATAAATATTCAAGAAGCTCTGATAGATTACCATGTATTTGGAGGACGTGAGTGTCTGCTGGTTGGATCAGTGTCAGCACTGTCTGTCTCGGTCATCCAGCTTATTTTATCCGCAGTGGGAATACACACTCCTTACCCCACATAGGGTACAACCTGAACCTGAACATTGTGTTCTGAAAAGGTGCCTTAACTTGCATTCTTTCTACTGGTTATCAGGGGGTGAGTCCTCTGGTTGGATAGAAGTCTATGAGGAAATGACCCTACTTTGTCACTCAGTAAACATGAGTTCATGGTTTTAATCTCTAGTTTCAAGTCTTCTTCAATACAGCATGATGTTCGTTTTTCTAAATGATGGTCCATTTAGAAGATTTTGAAATAGACAACAAAGCAGGGTGTGCTTCAGGGCGGGGCTAACTCGTGGTTGATAAGTCTCTTCTACAGTGTTGTCCGGTCTGGAAGTTGGCCCATGTTTTTGTCTTAGAAGTTTAACCATTTCGCAGTGCGTTTTCAGTTCATGAAAGTTAATTGTACCATTTTGGTCACCTAAAAATGTTTCAGCGTTTGGTTGTATTTAGCTCCACCCTCTCGTGTCACATCTGGTTGCAAAGATGGCGACGGCCAAAATCACAAATTTGAGGCTTCAAAACCATAGTCCACAATTGCAAGGTCTCAGTTTCAATGCACTGAATCATCACTTAAAGGGGGAAATAAATAATATTTCATGGGTATTAAATCACTTCTTGATGACTATACTCTCAGGCTTCATGTGTCTACCAAAGGATGAATTAAAAGCAAGTGTCTTAATCAGTCTTGGGATTTGAGTGGAATTGTTGGTATTTTTCAAACTAAGCCAATTATCAAATGATTCCAGGGCCACTACTCATGGTAAGTATCATTGTTATGAGCTAAATGTGAGAGAGACAGGAACGGAGATGCTGCTTGTAACACTAACCGCCTCCAGCTCAACAAACTGAAAGAAACACCAGCTGTCAACCTCTGACACTTGAGTTTGACCATTTGACCTTTGCTTAGCAGGTGGATGCCCAGTGACAGCTAAGCCGATGGCTGACCGATCCTGTGACCCCCCCTGCACCAAGCCTCGCTCCCTGTGCACAGAGGTGAGTTTTGGAGAGATGAGATCCACTCTTCAGCGTTGCTGCCCTGGATGTTATTCCCAGTGAAGCTGTTTGAGCAGGGATTGAGTGTAAATGATAAATGGTGTTTGGCTTCTTGTGGTGTCTATCTTGGTGTTTTTTGGTACCTTTGGCTTCTCTTGCAGTCTCTCAGCATCTTTTGACGTCTCTTGACATCTCTTCACCTGTTGACGTCTCTTAATGCCTTCAGTCTCTTGGCATCTTTGCTTCTGACCATCTTTTGCTTTCCTGGTGTCTCCCAGGTGTATAAACTGTTAATGCCGAGACAGATCCAGCCCCTCTTGTGTGGCATCAGAGCTGATCCTCCACACTCCTCCCACAAAATATCAATACAGGAATGTACATTATTACTTCCTCTTGCATTACATTATCATTACACTAATATAGATATTACTATGAAAAATGCAGGAGCTTTAAACGGCCAACGTCCAACACCAACAGACCTCCGGCCTCGCATTTCATTACTTGATCAGAATCATTTCCATTTTGTAACAAAGCAGGTTTAAGAAGCAGCACATTGTTGTTTTCACTTTTAAACCCTAATGAAGGAGTTGTCAATTTAGATCAATACGATTTTAGAGAGGCATCGCTGTTAATAATTCCTCTAAACATTTGAACCCCAGTACTGTTCTGCTTTCTGGCATGAATGATGGAATGACGGAATGATGGCACAAGTAGACATGGACCATAGTAGTCCGTGTGTGTCTGTTTGTGTATTAAAGAGGCACTAAGCTAATACTAGGCTAAGGCTATGCACTTTGTTGCAAATTGTTTCATCTCAAATTCTTTGAAACTGTATCGTGATACCATTGTTATCATGATAGTATAGTATGGCATCATGAATTGCCCTCTCATTTCCACACCTACCACACACTCAAACACACATCATAGCCTTGATCAAGTGGATTTCTTCCCAAATGTTAACTTAATGTGACACCAGGAAGTCTTTTGTCTTTGGCCTACACTCAAACACTGAAGAGTCAGTTCCGTTAATCTGAACAAACATGTTTATCTTTGCTTGCTTGCTCAGTAGCCTTCGGGAGAATTTAACAAAACAACCAATGCTGATTCTGGCATACACGTCCTACTGCAACTGTTACAGTGCAAGATACGTTTCCCATTGAAAACACGACACAGAAATGTCTATCCGACTTCTTTCCACCATGTTAGAAATAAATCAGCAGTTCAAAGCCCTGTGTCTGTAGACCTCCAATATGGCTGTGAGAAGGAGTGCTGAATGACGGATTGAGCCCCAGGCACCCTGTTGGGATGAAAGCATCTGGAGAGGAGGAAACAGAGAAGGAGTAGAAAAGAGATTAAAAAAATAGAGGACTGGAAATAGAATAATCTAACTCACTCGGTGTTGCCACCAGTTGTTAAGCTTCTCCCATTATCCTCTCTTAGCACACTCGGACTGAAGCGCTGCAAGTTAAAGAGCAGCTGCTAATGTTGTTTTCAGGCAATTCATATCAGCAAAGCAGAGAAAACCTGCTTTCAAACTCAGAATACACTGAAATAAAAAATAAAAAATACATCTATGAGCTATGCCTTACACTTATCCTTTAGAGCAGATGTACTGCAGGGGGGTCGTGAAATGTTTGGTTGATTAGACAATTTTTCATATTTTTTTCCTCCCAATTTTTTCCGACAAATTGAAATGTCTTTAAATACACATTAACATGAATCCAACATATTGTAGCGAATGGATAAATGGAGGCAGAAGATGTTATCTTTCAGACAGAAATGCACACATTCAGCGACACACAGGAGCTCTCAAGCTGGGCACCGGTTCACTCACAGCACCAGACTACCTGGACCGGTCCACTGCATTTTGTATTTACTCGGGTTATCTTTGTCTAATATTAAAATTTGTTTCATGATCTGAAACATTTAAGTGTGACAAATATGCAAACAAATAAGAAACCAGTACTGTGAAGTATACTTTTTCACAGCACTGTATATATATATATATATATATATATATATATATATATATACGAAGGGGGTGAAATATTGGACAGCCACAAACCAAGTGTGCTTCCCATGATTGTCACACCAGTTCATTCTGAAGTGGAATGCTTAGCTCACACTGGAGGGTAATCTGATTTTAGAAGGACTGGTGGTAATAAGGTATTGGAGGAGTGAATTTGACCGTTTTTTCAACCCTGTTTCGGCCGGCTGTGGCTTAGAGGAGTGGGTTGTCTTTAAAGCAGAAGATTGGCAGTGTGAACCCTGGCTCCTGCAGTCCATGTCGTTGTTTCCTTGGACACTTAACCCTAAGTTGCATGGTAGCCCCTGCCATGAGTGTGCGAATGGGTGGATGACATGTAGTGTTAATGCGCTTTCAGTGCTCGGAAGACTAGAAAGGCGCTATACAAGTACAGTGTACTTTTAATGAAGCACCATCATCAGGTCAAGCTTTTGTTTTATGACCAAAGACCTGCAAGACTAATTGCATTTCCATCAGCTTCAGCTCACTTTGACATTAGCAAGTGGCCCAATATGTAGTGGCCAGACATATACATGTATTCGGTAGAGAGACCTAATGGTGACGTTACACCAGTGAGCATACAAGACGCTAGATGCTTCCAACTACGTTATCTGTGGTCCTGTACAGAACGTCAAACACCATCACACAGACTCAGAGTTCTGACTTTATTGAGTTTTAAAATGGGAGCCAGAAACACAAGCATTCATGGCTGAGTGGAAGTCAACAGGTTACTAGCTTGCAGCAGCGCTTACCTCCCTGTTGCATTTTGCACTACTTGTGACGGCAGCTGTTGAAAACATGAACAGAACATGTAGAAGTGTTGGGAAAAGCCTTCAATGCATTTTATGTAAAAACTCATCTGTGTTTATTATCTACGCCAGGGATTCCCAAAGTGTGATGTGAGCTGCCTCTATGGGGTGCGCAAGAGGAAAAATGTAATGGTGGTCTAATGGTGTAATAATTATTAAATATAATTTAAAGAAATTTAAATGGGATTTTTCACAAAATAAAAACATGAATTATAAAAATTCCCTTTGTAAGATTTAAATTTAAAATTATAACTTACAATTTAAAAAATAAATGCACTTCAGCTAGCCTAGCTTGTGCACTAGCTAGCCTAGCTTGTGCAGCTAACGTCAGCTAACAGCTAACTTCATTCATTCAGCAACATTCATGCAAATATGATAAACTGGCTGAAATCGGGGAAACTGTCAGGCGGGACATCTGAAGCTATCAGCCATAAAAGAGGAGAGGGACAGAGAGAGAGAGGAATCGGAGGCGAGAGAAACGGAGAGGTGCGTTGGGGAGAGACCGGGAGATCGAACGGGAGTCAGAGAAAGATGAGACGGAGGAGACCGAAAAGGAGGAAGGGATAGCACAGACAAATCGGGAGCACATAGGCCCATCGCGGAGTCAAGGTGAAACAAGAGGAACTAGAAAATGCATTTCCTGCTGAAAATGCGTTGGAATGCTGAAAGCTGAAATGAATTGTAAAAAAATAGCTGAAAATTAAGAAATGGGAGACTACCCGTCTGAAAAATGTTGAAGCCCGAAAGCATTTAAACTGCACTGCTGAAAACCCTTCTAGTTGAAATGTCTAACTATGGTGTCTGTAGCTGAAAGTATGAGGAAGAAAACTTCTTCAACTTTCAAAGCCTAACAGGATTTGAAGATTTTCTCCATAGAGATCCCATTCAAAAGAAAATTACAAAAAGCTTAATAATTCAAAGAATTTAAAGAATACAAATATGAAGTCATATCACCCTCTCCTGAAAGAGCTGAACATTTTGATATTCGAACGGTTTCTGTAGCTTAAAAAATTTCAGCAGTAGTGATATTTGTAGTAGTAGAAGTTGTAGTTGTAGTAGAAGTATTAGTAAGTAGTAGTATCAGTAGTCGTAGTAATAGCTGTAATAGTGGTTGTAGTATTTAATATAACAGTAGTAGCAGTAGTAGTAATAGTAATGGCAGTATTTGAATTAGCAGCAATAGCAGTAGTAGTAGTACTAGTAGCAGTCGTACTAATAGCTGTAGTAATATTAGTACTGGTATTAGCATGAATAGCAGTTGTAGTATAAGTAATGGCAGTGGTGGTAGTAATAATATTGATGGTAGCAGTAATAGCAGTAGTAGTAGTAATAGTAGCAACAGCAAAAGTTGTAGTAGAAGTAGTAGTAGTAGTAGTATCAGTAGTAGTAGTAATACTAGAAATATTAGCAGCAGTAGTAGTAATTGTCGCAGTATTAGTAAGAGCATTCATTATTTCAACAAAAAAGCCTAATTTTGAGCTTAACGTTTAAATACAGTTAATCCATGGGGCTTTTATTTTGAAAAGGTGGGGCTGGGTGGGGGAGAGAGGAGGAGGAGGCAGAATCAGAAAGTATGAAACACACAAACAGGTTATTAAATGACAGGCTTCATCACAAGCATTCCAGTTAGAATTCATTCTGTGGGGCTTTTATTTTAAAATGGAGTGGGGGGGAGTCCTGTAAAAAACTCTAAGAACCTGAATGACTGTATGAGAGAGAGAGAGAGAGAGAGAGAGAGAGAGAGAGAGAGAGAGAGAGAGAGAGAGAGAGTGTATGTGTGTCTGTGTTTATCAACATCACTAATGAGCGTAATCAGAAACACCTGTGTCCTTACAGCCTTTTCATGGAGATAAAACAGGGAAACACCTCTCAAACAAATCCTCAAAACTCCCATAACCGTAGCTCCTATTGCTCCGATATTAATAAATGAGAGGAAGGATGAGTTGAAGAACAGATCCTGTAAAAATTGTGTCTGTAGTGTAAAAAATGTGTCTTAACTGGCGATCTAGAAATGGGGTACCGTGTTCTGTGGAAGATGTTTTTGAAGCAAAATTTAACATTGGTCTCTATGGAGCAGAAAGTTGGTTTTCCTCTCAATTACAGGCTTCTGTGCCAAATGTGTAAATCTGTGGGATTCCACAGTCATTTGTCTACGACAAGGACAAGATTAGCTGAATAGTGTGGCAATAGATCAGGGTTTTCTCAACATTTGAAAGTTGAAATGGTGTCTGTAGCTGAAAATATGAGGAAGTTGAAGGATTTGAAAGTTGAAGAAGTTTAAGAGGATTTGAACATTTTCAACAGCATTCCAACAAATATGATGAAAATTATCTGGTTCTGGGCTTCACTTGGATTGGCAATGCAGATTGCCCAAAGCCACAGTGCATGGTGTGCAGTGAGGTTCTGGCTAACAGCTGTCTGAAGCCATCTTATTTACGTCGCCAACTGAACACCAAGCATGCCTGGGCCAATCTTCTGGTGTACGTCCGTTACCTTTTCGAAGGCAAGGTGCAGGAAGATTTTTTGTGTTTTTTTGTGTTTTTTATCTTGGAAACAAACGCCACGCGCGAGCAAACTGTTCTCTCATTGGTCCGATTTTTATGTGGCTATAAATAGGCTCTGTTGCTTTTTTTTTTTAAGGTGTGGGGGATTGGGGGGGTGCGTGAACCCGGTCGGGATGTAGAAGGGGGTGCGTGGCCTAAAAAGTTTGGGAACCGCTTATCTACGCCAACTTTTTCCATAAGTTACTATTAGAAACCACTGATAGTGGTTAACAAGTAACCGTGTTCTGCTGACATGGTTAGTTGTTACACTGAGACACCTGTTGCTCTGAAACGGCCGGCGTCCTGTCGGAATTCTGTAGAACTTGAGAATATCGATTCTGACAACCTAACATGCAACAACCAGGCATTTTGCTGCTAGTAACAGTATAATAATTAATATTTAGCCTCATAGAGATGCTGCATAGCTGTAGCTAATTTTGTATTCAAGTGATGTATTAATCATTATGTATTACAATTATTGTAGCTAAGGTCAGTTATTCCTTGCTAAGACCGACCAGTTGTAAAGAAACAGGCTCATATTTCTCACTAAGCTGTGAGTTATATTGTTGTATAAATCATTCTATTCAGGCAGAGTTCCTGGATGGTTGCTTAGTAAAAATGTACATCACAACTATACTCTCCAAACTCAAGTATTGCTAATATGAGATATCATTTTGGCATTCATATGGTAAAATAATACCCATGTGTAGTGAGGGTGAGGTTTTCCCAGCATAACCACGAGGCACTTTACAGAACACAAGATGCATTGTGTTTGTTTTAGCGTGTGGTTGTACGATCCGGAGATGTGGTTGCTAGAAGGAAGCTTGGGATGGAGATATCTGGAGGAAGGGAAGATGTGTATGAATAAACATTACAGCAGCACCCTCCAGAGACTAAAGCCAGATATAAATAAAACCAGAACACGCTGCTGAACCACACTGCTCTTCCTTTGTTTGCCACTAAGGATATATAAATGATAATTTCCTCATTTCCTACTCAGTCTGCTGTTGGACCTACTGTTTGCGCGGTGGGGATTTCTGGGGGCCGATTATCCCTAGAGATTGTTGGGGAGCCGGGGACCCCCTGCAGGGTGATGAATAGAACCAGCCCAAGAGAGAGAGATGTGGAGGAGGGATGGCTTCCCTGCACACACACACACACACACACACACACACACACACACACACACACACACACACTCACCACCCTACACAATTAAACACACGCCCTGTCTGACAAAACAGACAGCAGCAACAAACAGCACCACTGTCACTGAGATGATTTTATAATGAGATTGTGCAGATTATCACACATGGTTTGTTGAAGATGCTGTATGTAATTTAATTTTAACATTTAGACAAACAGCCTCTACATTGTTTGCCATCAGCTCAGGCCCCCTTTTCTAAATACCAATTCATCTTAGAGGGTAGTGTGATTCTATTCCTTCCATAAGGCCTACAGGAGTTTTGCAATGTTTTTTTTGTCCCATAAATATCTGAGAAAATAGACCCTTAAGTTGGCAAAGACTTCAAGCTTGTGCCAATCAAATAGATGACATGGACCCATGGGAAACCTATTTAAATGTCACATACATAGATTCAGTTTCAAAAAAAGAACAGGAGCTGAAGACATTCAGACATGGGCCAAAATCAAGTCGACCCATCACAGATCTGCACGGGCCCCAAGCAGAGTCCTGGACCTAGCCTGGATCCACACCTTTTACAGATGTGATCCGATAGAGACCTGAGACCCAAGGCAATACCTTATCAGACTTAGACTTAAGTCTTACCAGTTAGTTACTGGTATCAAAAGAATTCTAACATCAAGACAAATGTCTCCTTCTGAGAGGTTTCTTGTCAGCTGCCCTAGATGCTTAATCCGTTTTTAACAGTTTGCAGTTGTCTTTGTCAAAATGTTTGTAATTGGAACACAAATAATCAGTATTCAATGAGAGCACATCACAAACACCAGGGAGGAAAACAGTGGAAACACAAATACAATATAAGTGACAAAGTCAGTTATGGGAACATGGGAAAGAAATCAAGAAAAAGGAATAAAAGATGAAATTGGTGTCACACCAACCGAGTTTACAAGAGACATACTGGTAAAAAGATCAAATAGAATGGCATTCAAGGAGCAGCAAGACGGGTCGACAGATGTTAAACAGCAGAAGGCTACACAGCTTCACAATATGTTCTTGCCCTGTGGCTTCACTTCATCCACTCTTGTTTATTTTGCCTGTGTCGGCTTATTTACTACATTTCTGTAGCATTCATGTTGTCTTTGTATTTTTTCACAGGTATTCGCTCTTGTTGCATGAAATTGAACTTGTATCTGCAGGGAGCTTTAGTGGCCATTATAAAAAGTGAAGGAGTTGTGTGATACGTGTGATAAGTAATGGTATATTGTGTGTATATATATATATATATATATATCAAAGGTGGCTGCAGAACTTTTGGGTTCCGGTGACTATGTCCATGTCATCGTTTTAAACCTCCTTCTTGTGTCAGACAGGAGTGTGTGGCTGTGAGGATGGCTACACTGAGGTGATGACGTCTGACGACCTGCTGGACCAGTGTACAGTCATCCCAGTGCTGGAGATCCCCACTGCAGGTGACAACAAGGCCGACGTCAAGACCATCCGAGGCTTCAACCCCACTCAGCCTGCAGCCAGCTCACCGGGCAGGGCTGGACGCACCTGGTTCCTGCAGCCCTTCGGCCCAGGTAACAGTCTGTGACATCTGAGCAGCTGCTGTATATATCATGTTGGATGATGTGATGACTGTGGATTTTTAAGATGAGGCCACATATGATAAGAATAGATGGATTATACTGAGACAACATACTGAGACAAAAATCACTTAAAACCTGTACAACATTACAATGTATCCAAACTAGTGCTACGTATAACAGGAGAGGTGGGAGGAGGGGTAAAGACAGGGAGAAAGGACATGATGAATGAAGGAGGGGTACCGGTGGAAAAGAAGAAAAACAGCTATAAATAATGAAGGGAAGAAAAAAGGAAATCAGGGAATGGAGAAGGAAAGGAAGAAATACAAGGAAAGAAGAAATGAAAGGGGAGAGGGGGGAAGTAAAGGGGTAAAAAGGAAATAAACAAATAGGAAATGAATGAATGAATAAAGAAGCAAATCCAAGATAAAGACAAAAGAAAAGAACCATAAGAAGGAAAGAAAGAAGAGAGGGGGAGGATGGGAAGAGGAAGTAAGAAAAGAAGGCGGGCACAGGAAATAGAGCTGAACAAATGTAAAGTGGAAAGAAAGGAAGAAACATACCAGATGAAAAGAGAAGGAAAGACAAAGATATACAATCATTAGTTTATTATATAAAAGACAAAAACAGACATTTACAGCTATAAGCTTATCTAAATAGTTCTAACTTACCTCATCAAATAGTGCAAAGTGAAATACCCAACTCCTCTATCTGTTCTCATTACCACATCATATGTATATTTAAAGGTGTTTCAGTATAACAACACATTCAACAGCACTGGTGTTAAAGGCGTTGTTATGTTTGCTTGATCTGTGTAGGCTTCTGTTACATTGATCATTCAGTTATTTCCTCACTGAAGTGGAGCAGAAGATAAATGTGTGTAACTCTACTGCCCCCTTCAGCTCAAAGAAGGCAGTGAATGTGACACAACGTGTCCCTGCAGTGCATTAACAATGAGCATGTGTATCTGTCTAGATGGGAAGCTGAAGACCTGGGTGTATGGAGTAGCAGCAGGAGCGTTTGTTCTGCTCGTCTTCATAATCTCCATGACATACTTAGCATGGTAACGTATAGCAGCACTTACATGTTATCACTGTCTGTCTCTACTGTTCCTATCATCACACGGGTACCATTCATGCCATCATTCACCTCTATTCAGTGATGTAATGGAGATCATGATGAGAGGGAAATAAATTACTTAATTTCTGCTTTATGTATATATATATACATATATATAGTCCGAGGCTTAATCCCTCTATGGAGTGCAGCATCAATCTGATGTGATCGGGTGGCTCTTTAAGGCCCATCAGGGATGAATATTTGAGTAAGCCAAAAAACTGTTCCTGCAAATAAAGATGTGTGGCCTTCATTACATCACTGCTTGTTTTTCCATTTTGTTTAATTTGACTTTGAGTTCCCTCATCTTTTGTCCCTTCATTTCCTGCTTTTCTCTCTCCATCTCCACCCTCATACTCACCTGCTCAGCTATTGTGGTTGTTGCCTTCGCTGCAAGTCGAGCTCCAAGTCCCCCTCAGACGGGGTTTACTGGACGGACCCAAACAGCCTCACGGTGCCTTACACCTGTCCCGCCTGTGAAAAACTAGAGCACGACGAGTTACAGCGAAACTGCCAACTCCAACAACAGCAGCCGCAGCAGCAGCAGCAATATCCGGCACTGCTCCAACAGCCCTCACCATCCCAACAACCACAGCAGCAGTCACTGCCACCCCCCCCACCACCACCCTTTGAAACTCTCATTACTTAGTCAGGGCCCCACCTCACTCCGGTAACTCACCGTGCCTGACATTCATGTGTGCCCGGACACATTCTGTTCACTCATTTCAGCGGATCACTTCCTGGAGGTGAGTCCAGCCTCCATCAAACACACCACAGAACGCCAAGGCTTTTAATGTAAATACAAACGTCATAGGTTGGCTCTTTTTTATGATTTTTATAATTTATAGAAGTTACCACTTTAATCTGAAATTATGTCTGAACCCAGGGGAAACCTCTGAAAAGTGAAGCCAGTGCAGAAGTGCACAGGTGTTTGGTTTTGGTGTCCGTACAAGTGAAGGCTAAGCTATGCTAACCACATCCCAACTCCAGCTCTGCACTTTAGATTCATATCTGTCAAATTTGAATATATTGAGTCTAAAAGTTGTGGAATGAACCAATTAGATATTTAATTATTTATTTATGTTTAGATATTTAATATATTTAAAACCCACTTGTGTTAGTAATCTTCCCAGTTTGTTTAAACTCAAACCCAAATTGACAGAGTAAATATAGTGAGCACAAATGTAGTGTCCTAAAAGGAACACTACCCACAAAATCACCGTATTTAAATAAATTATTCACCCTTTCAATTCTTATAGGAACCTTATTGTTCGAGCCTCCACAGTGAACCGAGAATCTAAAAACAGAGAAAAGTCTTGATGGATTAAAAACACTTCCACACAAACAGTCTCACGCTTGCACAGGCGTGCTGCTGTTTAAGACACGTGTCATAGTAAGGTTATAGCAAAGATGTTTGGGAAGTAGAAAGCATCCGACTGCACAAATGAGACTTGGATTATTCTGCACGAGTTGTGTCAGAGTTTGTAAAGCGATATTTTGATGTAGTTTTGCTCTTGTTAAACATATTGACTTCCAATCAGCAAGACTTTTCTCCGTTTTTTGATTGTTGGTTCACCGTGGAGGCATGCAAGAAATACAAAGTTTTCTTCTAGAATTCAAGGTACGGTGAGTAGTGATGAAATAGTCCTTTAATGATAGCTGCTGCCCTGAGTGGCTCTCACTGTTCAACGTTAAGAATACAAAGGGCTTTCCAAACTAAGCGTGTGCCAATTTGCAAGACATACATAATTGTAAAATTCCTCCTGCTGCCATCTTGTGGTCCCTTGTACACATTTCATGTAGACACTCAGTCATTCTCGTCCATTTCTATTTTCATCAGTTCAAAGTGATAAAACCATTTAGAAAAATACTGAACAAAATACTGAACAAATGTTGCCAACACATTATACAGGCAGCCTGTAGACAGAGCTCGGCCTAGTTTTCTACTGAATCGAATCAACATTTTGAAACAAACTGAACTTACTACTAAGCCGAGCGTTCTGATGAGATGTGACACAATGACATATTGATGTATGTTTGAACGTGATCACTCAGCATGAAAAACAAAGAAATGCCAGTCTCTACCACTCTTTACACTGAACTCAACAAAACAATCTCAATCAGGAAAGTGGTTTGTTGATTCCATCTCCAGCTGGAATAGACTCCAGCTCCCACAACCCTGAGCTGCATGAGCCATTCAGACTGATAATACACATTCCTCATCCCAACTCGTCAAACACTGACGCTTGGTCAGTGGCCCTATTCTTCAAACGATGATGCTCCAGGTTCCCCTCTACAGTTTATCAGTTTGGACGTGTCAGGGACGGCGTGCATACAGTCTTTTTTCAAAATAAACTTCCAAATTAGGTTTACTTAGTTTTTAGGTTAATTTAGGCAACAAAACTACTTGATTAGGTTCAGGAAAAGATGGTGGCTGTGGTAAAAATAACTATTGTGTGCCTGTTACCCTACGTCACTGGGGTTAGTTAAGTATATTTAAGTAACAAAACTCTGGTAAATGAAGTCAGCTTAACTTCACACAGGACATAACTAGTCTGCTGGGTGAAAGTCCTGTTTGTTCACTCTTTACATCCAGTCAGCTGACTTCCTCAGCTGTCCCTGCACATCCCGGCTGACAATTATAAATGCATTATGGTGCATTACTTTTTGTAGGTATGAGTTAATAAGAGCAGCCATTGTTTTCTGCCGGAAACAAAAGCAGACGTAGTGCAAAGTTGTTATGTCAGAACAATTGTTCTCTAACCCCATTCAAGTAGTGATTGTGCCTACGGAGCCTTAACCATAATGTAGGCAGACCATAAAACTGTCATAACTGTCATAACAACAAATATCATTTTTCCCCATACACCAGAATGATGATGTGTTGAGCCAGACCTTTCTTTCGTGTGGATACAGTGCTGTGAAGATCTACTTATGCGAGACAAGCTTTAGTGAAATGAATAGAATTCACAATTCAAAGTTCACACACTTGTTGGGAAAGGTTGAAACAGAGCTGCAGGTGAATGGCCGGGATCACATCATCTAAACCTGTTGTTTGTTTGCTCTGTAGCAAAAAGCCAAAGAAGCCACAGCGACGGCAGATGAACAACAGACTGAAGCCGCTGACTCTGGCCTACGACGGAGACGCCGACATGTAGAAGTCTTCCTGCCGACCACAGTGACCAACAGACATTCGTCCTACTGCAGGACGCACAGGGCTGCTATGGAAAGCCTTGATGTCAGGGCTGCCGCTGGGCGTTGTTCATCCTTCACCCTGGGAAGATGATTCTGACAGAAAGAGAAACCTCAAAGTTCAAGAACCAGAATCCATGTCCATTAGCAAGCCTTGATGTTGCCGTCCTCTTTTTTTCTAATTTCCATTTTGATACTTTGTTTCACAAGAGCCTTCATGAATTTTTTATCTTCTTCTGAAAGTTTGCCTTTGCTTCTCTGCCATCCACTACTGCCGGTAACATCCAAACCACGCTCATCGGAGAGGGTCGCCCCAAAACAAAGATTTTGCTCTGAAAGCACAAATCTCCATCTGTCCTTTTGTTGATTTTGTCACAGCTGAGTGGAATCATCTCCCATCAAACATTCAGACGCGTCTGTGTTCCTGTGGCCTGGGTCCATCTCGCAAGGAAAGCAAACTGGAGAACAAAAGTGTAGTGGTTCCCAGAGCCATCATCTCTTCTGCCTGCCTCTCCCTTCTCCGTTTTCAGGCATCATTTTGCACTATATTAGTGCTGCATGATATCTACTTATGTCTAGCTTCGCCATAGGAAACTGCCTCTCTCAATACAAGATGGCGTACAGTCTTGTGCTAGAAATGTAAAAAAGTAGACTTTTTTTGCAAACAGAACTCCCATGTTTGTTAATATTTTTCTTCTATTACCTCTTATGTGTGATACGATGGGACTCAATGTAAATAGGATTTTTTTGGTGGTCTCAATTTGACCTTTCTAGTATGTACAGCTACATTACAAACTCTGCCTGACGATTGTTTGACTGTGGCTTAAGATCATGATCTTTTACTTTTGTAAATTCTTGATGATTGACATTTCTGTCATCAACTCAGACTGCAGAAGACACATAGAAACCCCTTCCACCATAAAACCCATGGTTTTCCAAACCAACTAGTTGATACGATCGATCGCTGGACCACGTTTAAACCTGCCCACTCCTCCTGGCTACAGTCTCCTCCTGGCTGCATCTCTCTGCCTCAATCTATTTCCACGTTCTCTCTGTCTTGTGTGTGTGTGTGTGTGTGTGTGTGTGTGTGTGTGTGTTTGTAGTTTAGACCTGATAATTGGGGATGACAACACATACTTTCTAAGGGTGTTTTTTTCCGCATATAGTCTTTTTTAAACAAACCAAACTGTCTTTTGAAAGTGGACCAAAGAGAGGACCAACAAAGAAGGGACTCAGTTCTTTTTGCATTCAAATTGTCCGTTCGTTCTCTTTCTGGTCCACTTTACTCCTCTGGAGCTCAGACCTCACTGTTGACGTCCTTTTTTCGTTTTGTTTTTGACTTTGACGTGCGGTTCTAATGAAATGAATTCATTAAGCCCATCCACGGCTCTGTGGTGTATTGGCCAATGGAAAATTCATCTCTTTCAGTGAACACTTGAATGCTTCGGGCTACCGCACAATCGCTTCAGGGTGTCCCCTCTTTGTGCAATCAATGCAATTGTATCCGTGTTTTATCATCACTTACTTGGTAAATATTTGTCAAACACTGAAGACGACTCTCCTCTCTATACTCCTCAGGACACGACCGCTCAGCTAAGCACACACACACACACACACACACACACACACACACACACACACACACACACACACACACACACACA